TGCCCTCCTTAGCACAGTGAAATGGTTGTATAATGGATGCTTATCTGATCTGGAAGTACTCTGGGTTTTAAAGTTGGAACGGACCCTCTAAGTCATTTAGATCATTCCTGTCATTTTATAGATGAAGAAATCCCCACGAGGCTGTTATTTGCTCAAGTTCACATGGCTGCTCAAGGCCAGAAAAATGATTTTTTAGCATAACTTGTAGACATCTCTCTTTCCTACATTGTTGACCTTCTCTCGCTGAAATGCTTAGAATTATTTCACTATTTCTTATATTAATGTATATACATATATATACACACACACACACATTAATGTATATACATTTTTCCATTTTGCACTTTTCTCCCCTAAAGGATTTTAAAGTAAATTACAGCATGAAGACGTTTTACACCTAAATATTTCTGAATACATCTCTTAAAAAGAAAGACATTCCAACATAAATACATTATCACACCTAAGAAAATATGTAACAAAATAACACCAATTCTCTAATACCATCCAAAACCTAATCTATATTCAAATTTTTCCAGTTGTGTCCAAAATGTTATTTAGAGCTGTTTTACTCAAACCGGGATGCATCCAAGAACTATGCATTGCATTTCATTGTTAAGTCTCTTAATCTTAGTCTAGGACACTGAGTCTGCATTTATACAAAGGTAGGAGCCGAATTTTAACCAACAACAGTAACCTTTATGAATTATTTTTGGCCTAGGCCAGAATATTCATTATTTCCCTCCTTGCAGCCATTTTGGACATTATCCAAACAAATGAACTTCACTCACATCAAGTGTTTTAAAAAAAAAACACCTTATGACGTGTCCTATTCTTCGAGAAGTCTTGCTTCATTAGAAAGCATACCTAGGACCCACATCTAGTCTTGCAGCAACTACTGAGGATTTCAGGAAAAAAAATAGGCAATAGTCAGTTATTCTCTATGCTGTTAACACAGGAAATTGAATGGGTTCAGAAAATGGCAATTCATAGAGAAATGTGTTATAAAAGTTGCCAAGCTAAATGGATTTCAAGTAAGCATTTGGAATTTGTATACGATTTCATATCTTACAAGAACATCTCAGTCTTCTCTGTGATATCCTATGAGACATAAAGGGAGAAGATATTATTTAAATACCCATTTTGTAGAATAAATTACAGGAGGAAATGAGACCTATTCAGCCATAGAGGAAGGGGATTGAATTTATCATTTGGCCTTTAACTGCATTGAAAATCCCTCTCTTAACGCTTAATTCTTCTTATTTGCATCGTCTTGGTGTCATTACTGAAGCTAGCATTCCTAATGGCAAAGAAAGATTCAGTTGGTTTCTTCCTACTCAAAGTAGAATCAATTTTACCATAATTTCTTTTTCCTGAAGAGGCATTCATCTCTTTTCATTGTGTTCATATAGATATTTTTTTTTGGAATGAATTAAGAAGCTAAGTGTCTTGGGGCACCAGGGTGGTTCAGTCGGTTGGATATCCAACTCTTGATTTTGGCTCAGCTCATGATCTTGGGATCCTGGCATCGAGCCTGGCATTGAGCCCCTTGCTGGGCTCTGTGCTCAAAGGGGAGTATTTCTCTCTCTCTCTCTCTCTCTCTCTCTCTCCCCCTCTCCCCCCCCC